GGGGGAAAAAAAAATTTTTTTTTTTCCCCCCAAAAACCCCAACCCCACTTAGGGGCATGGAGGGACATAAATAAAATTTAAAAGGGTAACAAAGGGCAGATCGCGCACCCCCCATCCCTTGCAAAGGGGGAATAATTTGTCAGTGCTTGGGCTCTACATCTAGCTATGACAGCCCTTTCCCGTACCCCAAAACAAAAGGGGAAAATTAAAGGACCCAAATTAGATGCAAGGGGGGAGACTTTTTTTTCCTTTTTGGGTCAGCAAGGCAGATTACAGCAAAAATTCCTTTCACTAATTTAGAACTTGAATTGCAAACACTAACTAAAGGAACCCACGCGCCCGTGAGGGAAAGATTAAATTACAACAACCAGATTGCTGTTTTCGAGTACCAGGTAAACCTTTACTTGAATTAATAACAGAAATTTTTGTCCCCTGGGGGGGCTCCCCCAAAACATGGGCCAAAGCCCATTTTTTCCCATTCCCCAAGCCCAATTTCCCCAAACAAAAAAAAAAAATCATTTCGGGCCCCAAAATTCCCTTTCTAGCTGCTTGTGTTAAAAAAATTCGAAAGGATGGGTTCTTAAAAAAACTTATGCCAGAATTAAGGAATTTTTTGTCACCCCCGGGTTTCATGGGTTTCCCTGCATTTGGAAAAAGTGTGCATCATTTCATTTTCCAAAACCTTTTCTCACTCCCGCACACTGGGCAGCTCACAAAAAAACGTTTTCCCTTTTTCCCCTTAAAATCCGCTTTTTTAAAACCAACCGACATTAAACATTTGTGAACTTGTCGAAAGGATGTTGGAGGAAAGGGTTTTTCCGCTGGGTTAAAGGGACCTTCCAACCCGAAAGTCTTCCCGTGTTTTTTCCAGGGACAAGAAATGTAACTAAAAATTTGAAAAAAGGAACCCACCCGGGGGGTGTGCTTAGTCCCACCCTTTTTAAAAATTTTTATTAAAAGCCCCCTTTCTTTTAAAGCCAGCCAAGCCAATGCCTACCCCGCCCCCCTCCCTTATATTTTTAATTTTTTCTGATTTCCAAAAATTATTCCCCACTTAAACCCGGGTTTTTCCAACACCCAAAAAAATTTTTAATTTATGTTTTTTGCCTCGTGTCAGGGCCTGGGGTTAAAAAAATCCCCTGGGGGTAAAAAAAGAAACCAACAGGCGTCCCCCTCCGGGAGAGAAAAGGGAAGTTCGTCAATCCCTTGCAAAGAAAGGGGCCCCTTTAAAAAGAGTAAGCAGATACAAATTCTAGGCCTTTTAGGTTCCCCTACTTGGACCTGTTTTAAAAGAGACTTTGTCGCCAATACAAAGAAAGGCGAAAAGCACTTAGAGTTGGGGGCAGGGGTTTTTATCCCAGGTATTGGGGCTGGGTTAAAAAAAGTTTAAAAGAAGTATCTTTTCTTATATTAAAATCATTGGTTTTATTATGCGGCGCCACATTGCACTTTGTGTCTGACTGGAAGCTTGGAAGGGGGGAAAAACTTGCAAAACGAAGCAATGGAAAAATCTCCCAGGGGTGCCCCCCGGGACTGCCAAAATTTTAAATTTTGCGGGAAAAAACTTATATTCCAAGCATTTGGAAAACGGTACTGAAAAAAAAAACCCTTTTTTGGGGGCAATATGCTTGGCTAGCCCCTTCAAAAAACCCCCGCACAAAAGCCCTCCAAAAAAACTTTCCTCACACTGGTGAAAAATCCTTCCAGATGGATCCAAAAAAAATGGAAAACCCACCCCCCCCCCATGAACCAGCTCCAAAATCTATAATTTAAATTAGGGCAAACAGAAAACATTTCCCCGCTCCAAGGGATATTTACCCCATTCCCCAAAATACCATTTTCCCCCATTTCCCCCCCCAAAACCCCCCCCCTTTTAAAAACACAAAACCCAAAAACTTCGTCCCTTTAAGCCCCAAAAATAAAGCCTTTAAACCCTTTTTTGATAACTTATCCACCGGGAAAACTCCCCAAATTATTTTCGCGAAAGGGTTTTGTTTTACCACAGTCCCCCTGGTTTCCAAAACTGGTTTGTGCTGCTTGTTGTCACACAGAGGGGAGGGGGCCCCCATAAAGAAATTGGAAACCCCGCAATTTAATAATGGGGGCCCCTACCCTTTCAAACAAAAAACCCCGTTTTGCCCTACTCCTTGCACTCAAAAGTTTTCCCTGTAAACTAAGGGTTTACACTTTAAAATTTTAACTGATTCTCTGTCATTCCCCTAAAAGGGTCTCAACTCATTAAGGGATTAAATTTTGGCAGCTTTGTGGGCCCGGGGAACCAAAACAGATTTTTGGTAAGATTGTGGGGCAGTTTGGGGTCAGAGTGCACATGCTGTGATTCCCTCTTTACATTGGGGCCTTCAGAAAGCATGATAAACTGAAAATTGGCTAAGCTGTATGCTTTTTAAAGAGGGGGTAATTACAACTTAGGGGGGGTCAAATTTTGCATTTTTAGAACAAAAAAAACGAAAAGAAAATTCAAAGAAAAATTTTTGACTTAAGACTTTAGGGAGATTTTAAAAAACAAGTCAAACCATTTTATCATCATTTCCCTCATGGGAGGGGGAGCCACATTTCATGGTGCATCCAAAAAGATAACAACTCTTGGGTTCACACGCCCGGCCCGCTGGTTCAAGTAAAAATTTTGCAGGGGATTAAATCACCACCCAAAAGATGTTTGACCAAACGAAATGGGAAACTTTTCCAGAAGGACTATTTTTTCACCCCTTGGGGTCATTATGTAAATGGGGTGTGATCAAATTTAAGAATTTAAAAAAAAACAACTCACCAGAAAAAAATTTTAAAAAATTGGGAAAAATATTTTATCCACATGGGATATTGCAGACCATTCTAGAAATTTCCCCCCACTTTGCTGCTGGGAAAAAAAGCATTACCACAAAAAGTTACCATTTTTTTTCCTAGCCCCAGGGCGTGTGCATGTGTGTTCCCTGTGTGTGAAGGTTTTGAGGGGTGTGTGTGTGTGTGTGTTGGGTGTGAGGGTGTGTGGGTGTGAGGGGGTGTGTTGGTGTGGGTTGAGGGGTTGTGGGGTGTGTGTGGGTGTGAGGGGTTTTGTTGTGTGTGGGGGAAGGTTTGAGGGTGTGTGTGTGGGGGTGTGTGGGTGTGTGAAAAGGGGTGAGGGTGTGTGTTTTTGGGGTGTGGTGGGTGAAGGGGTGAGGGTGGGGGTGTGTGTTTTGTTTGTTGTTTGTGGTGGGTGTGGGTGTGGGGGGTTTTGGGGGGTGTGAGGGTTTTGTTTGGGGGGGTGTGGTGTGGGGGTTGTGTGTGTACTCACCTAGTTGAGGGTTTCGGGGGTCGAGTCCGAGCTCCTGGCCCGCCTCTTCACTGATCGCTACTAGGTCACTCTCCCTGAGCCGTGAGCTTTATCATACCTCTGCTTAAAGCTATGTATGGATCCTGCCTCCACTACATCGCTTCCCAAACTATTCCACTTACTGACTACTCTGTGGCTGAAGAAATACTTCCTAACATCCCTGTGATTCATCTGTGTCTTCAGCTTCCAACTGTGTCCCCTTGTTACTGTGTCCAATCTCTGGAACATCCTGTCTTTGTCCACCTTGTCAATTCCTCTCAGTATTTTGTATGTCGTTACCATGTCCCCCTATCTCTCCTGTCCTCCAGTGTCGTCAGGTTGATTTCCCTTAACCTCTCCTCGTAGGACATACCTCTTAGCTCTGGGACTAGTCTTGTTGCAAACCTTTGCACTTTCTCTAGTTTCTTCACGTGCTTGGCTAGGTGTGGGTTCCAAACTGGTGCCGCATACTCCAATATGGGCCTAACGTACACGGTGTACAGGGTCCTGAATGATTCCTTATTAAGATGTCGGAATGCTGTTCTGAGGTTTGCCAGGCGCCCATATGCTGCAGCAGTTATTTGTTTGAGGGTGTGTGTGTGGGTGTTGGTGTGTGTGGGTGTTGGTGTGTGTGGGTGTTGGTGTGTGTGGGTGTTGGTGTGTGTGGGTGTGTGTGTGTGGGTGTGCGTCCTTGTGTGTATGCATATATTTGTACGCTCGTGTGCACATGTCCATGCGTGCGCCCTCGTGTGTGTATGTGTGTGCGCGTGCGCTAGTGTGGGTGTATGATCCACTTAATATTTGTATTTATAACTCATTACAATTGTGACCAGGTGTGGACGTATCAGTGGTTCATTACTTTGTAATTTGCTCATGACTGTAACCATGTGTGTGTGTGTGTGTGTGTGTGTGTGTGACTCAACAATCAATATTTGCACCAATAACTCACTACAGTTGTGACCGGGTGTGGAAGTGTGAATTGCTCATTACTCTATAATTTGTTCATGACTGTAGCCATGTATAAACGTAAGTAACCATTCTTACAGAATTCATTACCTTTGTACCTAGTTCAGCTATCAAAACTTTGGGGGCCCGGTCCCTGGACCCATTACGTACCTGTGTAATCTGTAAATACCTTTGTAACTTGTCATGATTGGACCAGACCTACCAGGAGTTCATTACCTTTGTAAATTGTGAGTTCATTACCTTTGTAAATTGTGAGTTCATTACCTCTGTAACTTGCTCAGCTATCAAAACTTTGGAGTCCAGTCCCTGGACCAATTATGTACCTCTGTAATCTTTTGACTACCGCCCACAGGATGGGTATGGGGTGCATAATAAACATATTAAACTAACTAACTAACTTCACACGGTGAATGTCTGGGTTTGATTCCGGGCGAAGGGGTAGAAACATTGGACGTGTTTCCTTACACCGGTTGTCCATGTTCACCCATCAGTAAAATGGATACCTGGGTGTTAGTTAACTGGTGTCGGTCGCATCCTGGGACACAACTCAACTATTCATCTACAAAACTGACCTAATTTGTTTGAAATGCTCAGCATAACAAGCGGCTTTCTATATAGTAGCATGTCATTGATGTCAGCTAGGCCTGTATACCTTGTACATGTACTTGTAGTAAATAAAGATATGAATATTATATTATATTAGAGAGGGAGAGAGAGAACAACTTACAGAGAGCGGTAAGTTATGCTGCCCTGGTGATGTCTGGAGCAACACTGACGCTGCTAGTAACACTCAACACCTCCACCTCAACACTGTCAGGTCACACGGGGTATCAGGTGAGCATCCTGCACCTGTCACCTGGATTACTCAGTCACCTGTACAATGCATTATTACCACAAATTATTTGTGTTTGGGTGACGCCTCAGTAGCAGCAACACAATATAGTAGTAATATTCAGGTTCTTAATATTTTATAACAATTCTGACAGCCATGGTTCACGTGCAGTAGTACGATGGTTGTCTGTGATTACTTGGAGGTCAACTGACGGAAAAAAATAGAAAACTAGATGAACTCCTTCCCCTCGAGGGAAGATCCTTGATGCTGGTGAGGGGCTCTTGATCTAGGGAATTGAATCTGTATATGACTTCCCTGAATTAAGCCTGAATACCTTCCATCCGCCCCTACAGGCACTGTATAATCCCTACGGGCTTAGCGATCCCCTGAATAATAATAAAGTATGCAGTCCTCCCCCAGATGAAAACATTGGTTCTACTCTGATATATTTACCACTTTCTGTCCTATGGCAAATTTATCTTTCTCCCCCCAAGTCGCAACTCCTGAACACTCCTCTTTCTCTCCCTTATGTCTTCCATATTTCATTTAGTCTTTAATACATCCATCTGGAGGACATAAGTCCAGGGCATTTAAATATATCCTGTTCTTCTGTATTTCCTCTAGTCTTCTCCTTCCCTGAAATTCTACCCTCATCACTTTTTTTGTGTGTGTTCAGGTTCAACTTCCTTTTTTTTTTTAAATATGCCCGTCAAACTTGCCCCAACATTTGTTTCTTAATCTTCCGAAAGCACTGTCATTATGAAAGCGAAACTGTAACAACTCATTTTATATCAGATTTATTATTTTAAAGCTGCCGTCTTTCTGCATTTTCCTATTTATATCTTCTTCAATAAAGATATGAAGGAGTTACGGCGGAATCACACATGCTTATCTACATACCTTAACCAGAGCCTGGCTTTATTAAGAGATATTCACAGATGTATGAGTCTTGCCACCTGCTTCATATATCTGCAGCACCGGTCGAATCGCTGCCTCTTTATTGCAGATACTTCCCTTTCTCAGTCAGATGCTCTAATTATCGCAACACATACCTTAACCTGACCTTTATCATCTCTTCGTCTCCTATAACCTTGGTCTGGCTTTCACCGATCGGGCTAAAAGGTCGTCCAGTTCTCGTTTCCATGTTCTGTGCAAGTTGTGAATAACTAAATATTTTTGTAAATATACGATTTTACATATTTATTCATACCTTGACAATATGTTTCACAGTAATACAGCACTGGTAAAGGAGCTTCTAACCTTAGGTATTCTCTGGGGCTTCACGCATATTCACTCTGATTAGATGACACCCTTTCAGAGGGGGTTTGACAATATTTTGAGAGCTTTTAGGTCAAACTAAATATATATCATCCTTCTACAAAGTTTCGAATGTGAACCAGAGGAAGATTCCATTCCTTGACTATCTAGTATACTAGGTTAAAATTAGGAAGGATATATTCAAACACTTACATGCACACACACTAACTTTTATATAATGATCAATAATAACAAGTCAGTAATAATCTTAGTGGTTCTGAGTGTATAATGAGTATCGTCCGAGTTTTTTGTCACCACACCGGTTGTATCTCACCAAGGCAGGTTGACCTTAAAAAGAAGGAAATACATTCGTCATTGTTCATTCAGTAGCTGTTTTTCCGGAAGTGTGCAGAAATTACAATTCAAATAATCCTCCAAACTGCGGTATCCCTAGTCCTCCTTCAAAGTGCAGACACTATACTTCCCACCTCCAGAATTTCGATCCAGCTAGCCGATTTCTTTGAATCCCTTCATAAATGTTACCTTGTTCACACTTCATCAGCACGTCCAGTGCTTAAAACCAGTTGTTTCCACTGCGATCTAAAATATTCTCACACGCCTGCTGGATGCACAAGCCAACAACACCTAAACTCCCTTCACTTCACCCATCCCTCCCTCCCTCCCTTTCTAAGATGATTCTTGTCCCTCCTTTCTTCAGTTCCAGATTTATACATCATCTGCGTCATTTTATTCTGGTCCATTATTTCTCAATGACCAAACACCTCAACAACTCCTTCTCCCTCAAAATTATGCTGCTCATATCCTTATTTTATCACTTCTTTTTTATAATAATAATAATAATAATAATAATAATATCCTTACACCGTCTTATAATTTTTGCGCTCCTAAATTAATATATACACCACTGATTGTCCCTCACTGACCTATCATGGCAACATTTAAAACTCATGCCTTGTCCATACAGAAGTATTTGTACCATTATACTCTGGTACTTTTTCCCTTTGCCTCCATACCCCCCCCCCTCCCCCCGCTCGTCTATTCTATAGTTCATCCTTGTGCCGACATAACCACTCCTAATTATCTAAATATATTTATTTCTGCTTTACTTCCTCACTCCAGTCTAATATCCAGTCTTTTATTGGTTAAACTATTTGTTACTCTCCTCACCTTGCTAAACGTTCAATTCAATTCAATTCAAAGTTTATTCTCTATAAGGATTACAATGCTGAGTTTACAGAATTTGGTTATTGTGTGGTTTACATGTAGTAAAATAATAATTACTTTCAATTTCCTTCTTTTACACATCCTCCCAAACTCCTCTAACATCCTTTGCATCTTCGCTTCAGAATCTCCCTAACAACACTGTTTCATCTGAAAAAAACAGCTCTGATATCTACCACCTCATATCAGATTTATTATGTTTTAATCCCATACCTCTGCCCAACTCTCTAGCATTCAATTTTTATAACCCGGTCTATAAATATATTAAACATCCATGAAGATTTCCCACACCTCTATCTAAGGCCAACTTTTACGGGTAAATAGTTCCCTTCTCTCCTACATGCCTTACCCTGAGCCTCCGTCTTCCCATAAACTCTTAATCATTTTTAGTATATCTGGAGGTATACCAGTAGGGGGTTCCGGGGGTCAACGCCCCCGCGACCCGGTCCATGACCAGGCACAGCATCTGCCATACATTTGTAATATCTGTCATACTGCTTCCCTATCTCTCATTTTCTAAATTCATAAATGCAACAAACAATTCCTTACCTTTTTCTAAGTATTGTTCACATACCTGCAGCAGTGTAACACGTCAACACATTCCCTATCTTTCCTAAATCATTTTTATATATCTGCAATTCTAAATTATGTCTTACCCCTAATGGATAATAAAAACTGGAACTGACCTCTTCCATTGCAGACACTGCAAGGCTCCAGGCGGACATCAACCAAATCTTTCAATGGTCTGCAGAAAACTATATGAAGTTCAATGATGAGAAATTTCAATTACTAAGATATGGTAAACACAAGGAAATTAAAACTTCATCAAAGTACAAAACAAATTTCGGCTACAAAATAGAGCGAATAACCAACGTCAAAGACCTGGGAGTGATCATGTCAGAGGATCTCACCTTCAAAGACCATAACATTGTATCAATCGCAGCTGCTGGAAAAATGACAGGATGGATAATGAGAACCTTCAGAACTATGGATGCTAAGCCCATGATGACACTCTTCAGGTCGCTTGTTCTATCTAGGCTGGAATATTGCTGCACACTAACAGCACCTTTCAAGGCAGGTGAAATTGCTGACCTAGAAAATGTACAGAGAACCTTCACGGCACGCATAACGGAGATAAAACGCCTCAATTACTGGGAGCGCTTGAAGTTCCTGAACCTGTATTCCCTGGAACGCAGGCGAGAGAGATACATGATTATATACACCTGGAAAATCCTAGAGGGACTATTACCGAACTAGCACACGAAAATCACTCGCAATGAAAGCAAAAGACTTGGCAGACGATGCAACATCCCCCCAATGAAAAGCAGGGGTGTCACTAGCATGTTAAGAGACAATACAATAAGTGCCAGGGGCCCGAGACTGTTCAACTGCCTCCCAGCATACATAAGGGGGATCACCAATAGACCCCTGGCAGTCTTCAAGCTGGCATTGGACAAGCACCTAAAGTCGGTACCAGACCAGCCGGGCTGTTTTTACAGTCGTACTGGCCAGGTTGTGCCAGCCACCACCAAATCAGGGCAGGAGCATCTTCCTTCAGTGAGTACTAGCTCATGTTGGCATTCGGGACAATGATATGGCTGATGGAGCTGGCTCCCTTGCACACACACTCCCTACTATTACTTCCCTTAGACTGGACCAGAGTGATTTCACAAAGGGTGTTTGGATGGAAATCCGCTCCTTCTTCGGCAATGAGTTCAGTCCTGTTTTTCAATGGCCCCTGCCAGTGGCTTATCTGTACAGCCTTCGGAAAACAAACTTCCGTCCTGTCCATGGTGTCCCTCTCAGCCGGAGACTGTGGATCACTTCCTGCTGTTGTGCCCCCGTTCAGACCTTCAGGAGATCCTGGCCTGTACCTGCACCTTCTTGCTGCCCTCACCTGGAGTATACCTGGAGAGGGTTTCGGGGGTCAACGCCCCCGCGGCCTGGTCTGTGACCAGGCCTCATGGTGGATCAGGGCCTGATCAACCAGGCTGTTACTGTTGGCCGCACGCAACTCGACGTACAAACCACAGCCTGTCCAGCGCCTTCTTGAAGACAGTCAGGGGTCTATTGGTAATCCCCCTTATGTATGCTGGGAGGCAGTTGAACAGTCTTGGGCCCCTGGCACTAATTGTGTTGTCTCTTATCGTGCTAGTGGCGCCCCTGCTTTTCATTGGGGGATGTTGCATCGTCTGCTGAGTCTTTTGCTTTCATAGGGAGTGATTTTCGTGTGCAAGTTTGGTACTAATCTCTCAAGGATTTACCAAGGGTATATAATCATGTATCTCTCCCGCCTGCGTTCCAGGGAATACAGGTTGAGGAACCTCAAGCGCTCCCAGTAATTGAGGTGTTTTATCTCCGTTATGCGCGCCGTGAAGATTCTCTGTACATTTTCTAGGTCAGCAATTTCACCTGCATTGAAAGGTGTTGTTAGTGTGCAGCAATATTCCAGCCTAGATAGAACAAGCGGCCTAAAGAGTGTCATCATGGGCTTGGCATTCCTAGATTTGAAGGTTTTCATTATCCATCCTGTCATTTTTCTAGCAGATGCGATTGATACAATGTTATGGTCCTTGAAGGTGAGATCCTCCGACATTATGACTCCCAGGTCTTTTACGTTAATTTTTTCCCAGTGCGCCTCAGGGCTCACTGGGGACATAATACATGCCGCCAATAGGTTAGGTTAGGTAAAGTTTGTCAGGAAACAGGACGAGTGTTTCCTGACACGGGTCTTAGTCATATTATGACCAGCTGTGGAAAATACTGTATATATTTTCCGGAAATACGGTAATTTATAGGTAAATAGATTACCTGGAGTTTACCTGGAGAGAGTTCCGGGGGTCAACGCCCCCGCGGCCCGGTCTGTGACCAGGCCTCCTGGTGGATCAGAGCCTGATCAACCAGGCTGTTACTGCTGGCTGCACGCAAACCAACGTACGAGCCACAGCCCGGCTGGTCAGGAACCGACTTTAGGTGCTTGTTCAGTGCCAGCTTGAAGACTGCCAGGGGTCTGTTGGTAATCCCCCTTATGTATGCTGGGAGGCAGTTGAACAGTCTCGGGCCCCTGACACTTATTGTATAGTCTCTTAACGTGCTAGTGACACCCCTGCTTTTCATTGGGGGATGTTGCATCGTCTGCCAAGTCTTTTGCTTTCGTAGTGAGTGATTTTCGTGTGCAAGTTCGGTACTAGTCCCTCTAGGATTTTCCAGGTGTATATAATCATGTATCTCTCCCGCCTGCGTTCCAGGGAATACAGGTTTAGGAACCTCAAGTGCTCCCAGTAATTGAGATGTTTTATCTTCGTTATGCGCGCCGTGAAGGTTCTCTGTACATTTTCTAGGTCAGCAATTTCACCTGCCTTGAAAGGTGCTGTTAGTGTGCAGCAATATTCCAGCCTAGATAGAACAAGTGACCTGAAGAGTGTCATCATGGGCTTGGCCTCCCTAGTTTTGAAGGTTCTCATTATCCATCCTGTCATTTTTCTAGCAGATGCGATTGATACAATGTTATGGTCCTTGAAGGTGATTATTATTATTATAATCAAGGGGGAAGTGCTAAACCCGGAGGATTATACAGCGCTTGGGGGGGATGTGGAAGGCATTCAGGCTTAATTCGGGGAACTGGAGCACAGATCCAATTCCCTAAATCAAGAGCCCCTCACCAACATCAAGGAACCTTCCTTGAGGGGCCTTGAAGGTGAGATCCTCCGACATGATCACTCCCAGGTCTTTGACGTTGGTGTTTCGCTCTATTTTGTGGCCAGAATTTGTTTTGTACTCTGATGAAGATTTAATTTCCTCATGTTTACCATATCTTAGTAATTGAAATTTCTCATCGTTGAACTTCATATTGTTTTCTGCAGCCCACTGAAAGATTTGGTTGATGTCCGCCTGGAGCCTTGCAGTGTCTGCAATGGAAGACACTGTCATGCAGATTCGGGTGTCATCTGCAAAGGAAGACACTGTGCTGTGGCTGACATCCTTGTCTATGTCAGATATGAGGATAAGGAACAAGATGGGAGCGAGTACTGTGCCTTGTGGAACAGAGCTTTTCACTGTAGCTGCCTCGGACTTTACTCTGTTGACTACTACTCTCTGTGTTCTGTTAGTGAGGAAATTATAGATCCATCGACCGACTTTTCCTGTTATTCCTTTAGCACGCATTTTGTGCGCTATTACGCCATGGTCACACTTGTCGAAGGCTTTTGCAAAGTCTGTATATATTACATCTGCATTCTTTTTGTCTTCTAGTGCATCTAGGACCTTGTCGTAGTGATCCAATAGCTGAGACAGACAGGAGCGACCTGTTCTAAACCCAAGTTGCCCTGGGTTGTGTAACTGATGGGTTTCTAGATGGGTAGTGATCTTGCTTCTTAGGACCCTTTCAAAGATTTTTATGATATGGGATGTTAGTGCTATCGGTCTGTAGTTCTTTGCTGTTGCTTTACTGCCCCCTTTGTGGAGTGGGGCTATGTCTGTTGGTTTTAGTAACTGTGGGACGACCCCCGTGTCCATGCTCCCTCTCCATAGGATGGTAAAGGCTCGTGATAGGGGATTCTTGCAGTTCTTGATGAACACGGAGTTCCATGAGTCTGGCCCTGGGGCAGAGTGCATGGACATGTCATTTATCACCTGTTCGAAGTCATTTGGCGTCAGGATAACATCGGATAGGCTTGTGTTAACCAAATTCTGTGGCTCTCTCATAAAAAATTCATTTTGATCTTCGACTCTCAGTCTGGTTAGCGGCTTGCTAAAAACGGAGTCATATTGGGACTTGAGTACCTCACTCATTTCCTTGCTGTCATCTGTGTAGGACCCATCTTGTTTAAGTAGGGGCCCAATACTGGACGTTGTTCTCGACTTTGATTTGACATAGGAGAAGAAATACTTTGGGTTTCTTTCGATTTCATTTATGGCTTTTAGTTCTTCCCGCGATTCCTGACTCCTATAAGATTCCTTTAGCTTAAGTTCAATGCTTGCTATTTCTCTGACCAGTGTCTCCCTACGCATTTCAGATATATTGACCTCTTTTAGCCGCTCTGTTATTCTTTTCCGTCGCCTGTAAAGGGAGCGCCTGTCTCTTTCTATTTTACATCTACTCCTCCTTTTTCTTAGAGGAATAAGCCTTGTGCATACATCGAGTGCCACCAAGTTAATCTGTTCTAGGCATGAGTTGGGGTCTGTGTTGCTTAGTATATCTTCCCAGCTTATATCGGTTAGGACTTGGTTTACTTGGTCCCACTTTATGTTTTTGTTATTGAAGATGAATTTGGTGAATGCTCCCTCGTGACTAATCTCATTATGTCGGTCTGGGGCTCCGCGCATACATGTCTGAACCTCAATTATGTTGTGATCTTAGTATATTGTTTTTGATATGGTGACATTTCTTATCAGATCATCATTGTTAGTGAAGATGAGGTCTAGTGTATTCTCCAGTCTAGTAGGCTCTATTATTTGCTGGTTTAAATTGAATTTTGTGCAGAGATTTAAAAGCTCGTGTGTGTGTGAGTTTTCATCAGAGCTGCCTCCTGGTGTTATTACTGCAACAGTATTATTTGCTATATTCCTCCATTTTAGGTGCCTTAAGTTGAAATCCCCCAGGAGCAAGATGTTGGGTGCAGGAGCTGGAAGATTTTCCAGACAGTGGTCAATTTTTAACAGCTGTTCCTGGAATTGCTGGGATGTTGCATCCAGAGGCTTGTAGACTACCACAATGACTAGGTTTTGGTTCTCGATCTTTACTGCTAAAACTTCCACTACATCATTTGAGGCATTAAGCAGTTCTGTGCAAACAAGTGACTCTGCAATGTACAAGCCAACCCCCCCCCCCTTTTTTTGCCTGTTCACTCTGTCACATCTGTATAGGTTGTAACCTGGGATCCATATTTCGTTGTCCAAGTAATCCTTTATGTGGGTCTCAGTGAAAGCCGCGAACATTGCCTTTGCCCTATATTGTATTTTTAAAAGAAGTATGTTATCGAAAATGGGAAACCTGCGGCTGGGGGGGGGGGGCAGTGGCCATTGTTGTTTGAATGGAGTAAGACGTTAATTAATATTGTGAGGAATTTTCGTGCTCTAGAGGTTAAAATTGAGTTGACACCTCTCAAATAGGAGGCGAAATTGTTGTATGTGCATTCCTGCATAATTTGAGTATCAGGCTACTGGGCAAGACAGCTCCAGGAACCTCAGATAAGTCTGTTTATGTTTAATTCTGGCCAGTATTTTCATAAATTTAGACAGGTTTTCTGAGTATGATACACATTAATCTCCAGTCAAATTGGTGAGTGATATTAAGATATATTTTCCTTCTGTTATGTAATTGTGTATATATATAACCATTTATTATTTTTAATATACAGTCCACAAATTTATATATTTACCAGTATTCCTGGTGTATGTATATTTCATTTAATTAATAGGTCCAGATAATTATTATAATTATAATCAAGGGGAAGCGCTAAAACCCGGAGGATTATACAGCGCCTGGGGGGGGGGGGGATGTGGAAAGCATTCAGGCTTAATTCGGGGAACTGGAGCACAGATCCAATTCCCTAAATCAAGAGCCCCTCACCAACATCAAGGAACCTTCCTTGAGGGGAATAGGTCCAGAGCAGCTTGTGGTTATGACAGTGGTAGGTATCGAAGGGGGACATTTTTTGCGACCTAGGTGTCCCAAATTCCTACTTGTCTATGTAACATTGATAAATACTAATTATCTTTGTTATCATTTACTGTTATGTACATAATTAGTTACATTCAGATAAATGTAATTTTCCACAACCCGCCGTAAGAGCTTTTGGTCATCTGATTGAGGCCTTCCGCTAGCTTACCTGTCCACCTTTCAAAAATTAAGGTCATAATTATAACCATTATTACCGCCACTAGTCGAGGTAATCCACACATATGCTGCTATGTATGATTTTTTTTATATTTTATTTAAAAGTCATATACATTATACATAAAAAACCAAGGAGACAATTTAACATAGCGAAAAACCTTGGTATACAATGTCAGTACACTCCTCAAAAGCAAAAAAAACAATTTTACACATACATATTACAAAATACATCTGAACAATAAACCACATGTATGATAATTTATGTAACTGTATTTATGTGTACTTGTACCTGAATAAAAACCTACCAACTCCCACTTTGGTGGAAGTTTCCTTGCCAGACACACGAGTCAGGTGACAGTGATACTATAAACCTTAACAACAACAACATTTTGTGACTGAGTATTTAAGTTTTTTTTTTTTTTTTTTTTTTTTTTTGGTCTTGTCAGCCTCACCTCAAGGGAAGGGGACACTTCTTGTATACTGGTGAATTATTATTATTATAGAGCGCTAAGCCCACCTGGGTTTCATACAGTGTATGTAAATAATGCTGGTCAGGGGATGTTACTCTGAGAATTAGAACTCCTCTCCTTCCTTGGATCAAGCCCGAACAATGAATGCCCATTCACCAGACTGTGTATGCCCTCTATGGGTTTAGTGTTTTCCAGTGATTATAATGATAATAATCAGCCTGTTATCAATATTAATGTTGTGAAGAAGTCGTGCAGTTTATCTTTGCATAAAATTGTTCTCAACATCAGCAGTAACAATGTCCCAAGAAACTGTAGAGAGAACAATGGAAGATGCAATAAGAAGTGAGATAGAGAAGGTGAGAGTTTAGTTATCATGTATTTTGTCTATTTTCACTAATAAATAACTCAAGGGAGGTGCTTCAATGATGAATAAGATACATTTGCAACTCTCGTGGTATCTTTGTTGCCTTCATAATAAACTTCTTCAGTGTAAGGTGGTCAGTCCCTTATAACACAGATAAGCAACCAAACCTTATATACTAGAATAGACATTAGATGAAATAGTTGGAGTTGACATCACAAGTGAGTCTCACCCACAAGTGGAAGTAGGTTTAGTAAAGTACATATTTAGGATAACCTACTTCCTACAGGTATTATATGGCTTGGTAGGCAACACTCTCTCTTCACACACTGAGTGTCCATGGTTCAATCCCCGGCTGGGGGGAGTTATTGGACATGTTTCCTTACACCTGCTGACCCTGTCCACCCAGAAGTCACCTGGTGTGGTTCACATCCTGGGGACAAGATTGAAGGACCACAGTGGAAACAAGACACACTCCTCAATAATGCACTGACTTCATTAGGTTATCCTGGATGAAAAACCCTTCAGGTTAAAAATCCGAACAAATCCTATCTTTCCACATGTGAGCCACCCTCACTTGTGACATCAGCTCTGGATGCTGCATCTCACTTCTGTTTGATACAAATCAGAACAGGCCCTCGTTCACAAGTTATTACAGCAAACTAATATCCCAATTTCTTCATTAACTGTCTTGTCAGAAATGTGCAGACAACTCAGTTCAGATAACCCTCTAAACTGCAAAAACCACCTCAGCCCTTCTGAGTGCAGACACTGTACTTTCCACCTCCAGGACTCATGGCCAGCTTGTTTACCAGAATCCATTCACTTTCCAACAGCACATTAAATCTCAAAAAAACACTCTGAAGGACTGAACCATGTCTAGAACCCCTCCTTTGCCCTAAGAATTATTCCTTTAATCCCATTCTCAATAATTATTAATTATTAGGATTTTTTTCAGAAAACTGATAAAAGATTTTACATAGTACTATAGTATAAATTTGGTTCTAAAGATACATAGATGTTAAAGGCATATATAAATGAAACATTAGGTTGATTTAACCTAGTTAACTCAATAAAGTCAGACTGAAATATTTTCATTGCTATCATCAATGTTCTTCGATAAGATACAAATTTTTTTTTTTTCACAATTTTAACCCCTCAGAGGGTTAGCCCCCCAGGATAGTCCCATAAAGTCTGTATGTCATTAGAGACTGTTTGTCTTTTTTTTCTCCATTGGGGTCCTCTAACTTTGTTCCCAAGGGTACAGCCCACAATAATTGACTAACACCCAGGTATATAGTTACTGCTAGGTGAACAGAGGTAGTGGATATAAGGAAACATGCCCAACATTTCACCTGTGCTGTGGATCCATCCTAGACCCTCAGTGTATGAGGTGAGGATGGTACCAACCAAACCTCAGACACCCTACCCCATGTGGGTCATTTAGAGATAAAAACTCTATCACCCATCCATTAATTTTGAGACATAAGGGTTTCTATCACAGCCAGATGTTTCCTCCTCCACATCTCAAGACAGCAATAATTTTGAAGATGAATACTTGTCAGTAACCTTAACTGCTCAAAACTAACCAATCAGTGTTTTGGCATAGATCACATAAATACAAAATATAAAATTAATATTGAACTCATTTTGCACATGTATAGTTTTACTTAGCTGACGAGGAAACAAGCCTGACCTAAATATTTGTTTGTATAATGCAAATATAAATATTTAAGTGAACATAGTTATAACTTTTCTGTATTTAAAACTTAACTTTTAACAAATAAATTTTCAACATGACTTTATTAATAACCAATTTGGATATATTCATAGAATGCAGTAAGTTAAGTTAATCTTTTGTTATTATGATGAGATAATTTAATGCTTCATTTCATACAGTATGATAAATATTTTGTTGCAAATAATTGTGTAACAAGAAACTTGTGATACAACTGATACTGAACAATAACCACAGAAAATTACATTGTTAGTTGTAGTTCTAGGTATTGAATATATTAGAATTTTATAAAATGTTACTAAGACTTATATGTGATATATGTACAGTTCTGTTTTTAAAACTATTTTGTCTTGCAGGAAAACTTGCAATCTACAATCGACCAACTAATTCGAGAAGTTGTAGCAGAAGAAGCTGGACAGTCATCTGAAGTTGATCCAGAAATAGTTGTGGCACGTTTATTAGACTCCACCTCAATACAGTCTTTAGTACAGCGGGTTTTAGCAACTACCCCAACTAGACAGCAATCTCAACCCCCAAAAACAAACTTGCCTTTAAAAGTAAAAGGTGCCTATTTTTTTTTATAAGGATGGAGAGGGATAGGGTGATGAAGAGGGTGTATAAATCTGGGAACGGAAGGTAGGAGGGGTGGGGATCATTCTGTGAATGGTTGAAGGAAGGGGATAAAAGAGGCTTGAGTTTTAGGGACTTAAGCATCCAGCAGATTGTTGTGAGCATGTTAGATAAGGGGTGAAAGGAGTCAAGTTTTTAATAATGCTGTTGGAATGTGAGCAAGATAACTTTTATGGAGGATTTCAGGGATTCAAGTTAGCCAGACCTGAGTCCTGGAGGTGGGAAGGGCAGTGCCTGTACCCTGAAGAAGGGGCGGGGATGTTGCAATTGACAGATAATTTGCAATGCAGAAATTGAATGAATGTTGGTGAATGATTTTTATTTTTTTGGTTTACTATTCCTTGGTGGCAGATGGCTCTTGAGGTTAGAAAAATAAAACATATTCTGTACAACATAAAATGTTAATCGTTCAAAACAAGCTTCATGAATAATATGACAAAATTGTGTACGAATGGTATATAATACCGACAAGATGAGAGTAAGACACATGTGCAACATCTGGGTATCTTTATTGTAGACGTTTCGCCATCCAGTGGCTTTATCAATACAAATTCTAGGACATAACTTGAAGACAGTAGAACTATGTACAGAAGATGAGGTAATCAGTCCCTCAACCTAGGAGTAGGTGCGAACAGCACCATAGTCGTGGAGATTCTGAAGCAGAAGAAAGAATCCTGGCGCTTATATAGTAACGTCAGGTGAAGCAGACGAGGGCAAATTCACTGGTAGGCGGGATTCCCCAGTGGAAGTAGGTCCTTCCCAAAGAGATGGGTTAGTAGTAGTAGTAGTTGTTGTCGTAGTCGTGAAGGACATGTACATAGCCTTCACGACTACGACAACAACTACTACTACTACTAACCCATCTCTTTGGGAAGGACCTACTTCCACTGGGGAATCCCGCCTACCAGTGAATTTGCCCTCGTCTGCTTCACCTGACGTTACTATATAAGCGCCAGGATTCTTTCTTCTGCTTCAGAATCTCCACGACTATGGTGCTGTTCGCACCTACTCCTAGGTTGAGGGACTGATTACCTCATCTTCTGTACATAGTTCTACTGTCTTCAAGTTATGTCCTAGAATTTGTATTGATAAAGCCACTGGATGGCGAAACGTCTACAATAAAGATACCCAGATGTTGCACATGTGTCTTACTCTCATGACAAAATTGACAGAAAAACCTAACTATAACTTACTGGTAGTCAGTAGATTTTTAAATTTCACTACTATATACCTTTCATGACTAAGAACTAGAGATAAAATTAGACATTTTAGTTCATCCAGGACTGTTATCAAGATGTGAATGATAAATAAGGTGATCAAATGTTACTAAGTTCACTATATCTTAAAAATACTTTTAAACATTAGAGAAATTATCTAAATTTACGAATTTATAGTTTACAAGTTAATGAATATCATTTCAAACACAATAATGCAATGTCCAGGTTAGGGTTTGATGAATAAAACATATGTGCAACACTTTGGTGTTACACATGTCTTATTCATCAGACCTTGGTGTTGGCCTGGGTGTGCAACACCAAGGTTGCACACCTGGTGTTGCACACCCAGGCCTATAGGACTACTTATGAGAAAACAGATTTGCAGTGTATGCAGTATACAAAAAATTGAGGTTGCCACAGTGAACTTTGGGAAGACCACATTTAGTACACCTTATTCACCATGCCACGTGGACACAAAGACCTCACTCCTAGGAAAATTGAACAGGTTTTTTTCCTCGGTGACAGCACCAACAATGAGGATTATGGAACCAACACTGAGTTCTTTGGTTTCGAACTTACAGTGACTGCAAGTGATGTTCAGGACACCAGAAATGTCATGTTACTGAAAAAACCCAATGACCCACAATTATCACTTGGGGTTGATTTGTCTGGAATATATCCACCTCCATGATGTAAGCAAGAGCTTGTATTTTCCCATGGCCTCGGTTCCGATGTGAGCAATAGTGTTAGTGATGTGAACTTTGATTTCCTAGCAATCGATGACCAATTTAGTAGTGATAGTGATAAAGATAATTCACCTATAAAGCATCAGTATTTATGGCACTGCATAGTCTGGTAATGTGCCCATTACTATCCTCAGAGGATGGAGTACATCCTGGAACAAACACTGGTGACAGTGATAACGAGGATGGTAGTGCATCAATTAGGATGGGTAATAGGCCATAGGCAATGCTGGCACCACATGTGGCAGCATGTAGTGGTGCATTGAGGCATGCAGTACCAGTGCCAGCCCAGGCTGGGAGGCCCACACCCAACACTGCAATGACCCACAGCTGCCTCCACTATCCACACACAAAACTACCACAGCCAGCTGCTAATATCCAGCAGCCACCACCAGACTGCATCTGGGATTGGCAGGAAGATGCAGATTTTGTGCCCAATCCCAATCAATTTGATACACAGAGTGCAGTCCAGCTTAACTGTATCCTGGGGAATGATGCCAGTAAACTTGAATTCTATGGAATTCTATGATGAGCCACTAATGAAAACTATAGCGAGGGAAACTGGTACACAGTGTCAAAAACGGTTTCACCACAATCATGGCTATACCGGTGGAAAGACACAGCTGTAGCTAAGATGTATCTCTTCTTTCCCACAATAATGCTTATACCATATGTATATAAGCACAATATTCAATTATACTTGTTGACTGACCATCTAATTTATACCCAAGCATTCAGTGATCTCATCCCCATCAACAGATTTATGTTGCTGTTACATATGCTACACTTCTCAAATAAAACAAGGCTCAACAGAAGTAACATGTTTTACAAGATCAGGGATGTTTTTGTGTATCTGAAACTGAAGTTCAGTGTATATATTTATCCCTTCAAGAACCTTGTCATCAATGAACCTTTGATCCTTTTCAAAAGTAGACTGTTGCTCAAGCAGTATATACAAAGCAAGAGGAAAGGCTTTAGTAATAAGCTTTTTCGTGTTGCATGATTATGAAATTAGTATGATATTGGATCTGATGCTGTATAGCCCTTCTGGCTTAGCGCTTCTTTTTGATTATAATAATAACAATAATTGGATCTGATTGTGTATACAGGAAAGCAAAGTATTGAAAGATACCAGGAAGTTATTGGGTATCTCAGGTGATGTTGAAAAAAATGATGGAACTATGTCTTGGTAAGGGGCATACATTATACATGGTAACTTGTACACATGCCTCATACTCAGTGATTTTCTGCATGTGAACATGACATATGTGTATGTGGAACAGTACAGGGAACATGTAATCATACATCCAGGTTCAGTGCAGGCATTAGTACTAGTGAGGTGCAGGTGTTTCATGCCAGTGACATCATGGCATATCAGTGGCATGACAAATGTGACATAACATTATTGACATTAATTCACCACCACGAAATGAAAGACGGGAAATATTAATAGAGACACCAATAAACCCATTCTGAGACCTGCTGTTGTCATAAATTATACCACTAATATGCATTTGGTGGACAGCTGTAACATATAGATTGGGTTTGCTGATTATTTCTACAAGAGTTACAAGTGGTCATTAAACTCTTTTTCCATCTTGTGGACATTTCAATGCTCAGTATATACAATATGTATCAGGTCAAGACCAGCAACAGACCACCATATGCCCACTTTTGTTTGTCATTCATCAGGCAAATAATACACAAATACTAGGTCACAACACCAGCAGTACACATATGCCACCAAACTGATCACCGACTACTCATTCAGTTGAAGTTTAGTGATCACTTCCTAACAACAATTCCTGCTACAGACAAAATGTGCTCAGAAGAAATGTTATGTGTGTGCACACACACACAACAAGGCACCTAGCACAGCACAGACACGATATATAGTGTAAAACACAATTGTTTCACTCTACTGTTCTAACATCTGTGTACATATATAATGACACTGGTCATGTTCCTGGAACTGTTGGAATCTGTGGAAGTCTTTGAGATCCTTGAAAAAAAAAATTACTGTACTGTACTTTGTTCTAATGTATGTACTGTGCTGTACTTTTAACTCATTTTCTTTTCAGGTTCATTTACTGGCAATACTGTGTTGTACCCTAGTTTATTCTTAATATGTCCAGTAGTCCATCGGTACAACAAACAAAGTTTGTTTTATTGGGCATTTGTCTGTATCTGGTAGTCAATCGATTGAGCAAACTAAATCTCCTTAATTGAAACATTCAGTACATATATCAGAATTCTCGGTAAATCAAACATCCCCTTCTTCCTATTAGTCTGTTGTATCAGACCTTTACTGAAATACTGAGGATAATTAATTTCTGAACTTATAATAATGTCCAAAAATTTAAAAAAATAAGTAAAAAAAATTAATTTGATCACCATGTATTGAACACAAGTGACTTGGGCATGACATAACAAAAGCTCATTTGATGTTGGAAAATTTTGGTCACAGTCAAGATTGTATCTTATTTTACTTAATTTAAGATAATTTCAGCTTTCTTGAGATTCAGAACTCTTTTTTTTTAGGGGGGGGGGGGGGAAAGACTTCAATTGTACAAGCTTCTTTTATTCTCATTTAAATGGGTTTCTTCTACAGAGCAAGTTGTTGAAGGACGCCAGTATTTGTACCTACATGTGTGTGGTGGCAGAGCATTTATCGACTATTTAGGAATCAAAGCAACACCTCGTGATGGCAACCAGACTTCCTTAACTGTTCACCTTGCACTCAACAGTCAAAGGTGGGCACTCAACTATATTATAACAAATTCTCATTAAATTACAATAAATACTAAAATTAACTTTTTATTACAAAAGTACTTAAGGATATTAGATTCCACCTGTTACTGTATTTTAAAGGAATTTTGTTTTATTACTTCAGTTCACTAAAAATTATTTTTTTTATTCCATTTGATTTCTGTCTAAACCCTGATTGATGTGCATTATATTGATGTGCATTATATTGATGTGCATTATATTGACATGCATTATATTGAGATGCATTATATTGAGGTGCATTATGAGGTGCATTTTATTGATGTGCATTGTATTTAGGTGCATTATAATGAGGTAATTTATATCAAGGTGTGTTATATCAAGGTGTGCTATATTGATGTGCATTATATTGCAGTGCTTTATACTTATATCAAGGTGCATTATATCAGGGTGCATTATATCAAGGTACATTACATTGAGGTGCATTGTATTGAAGTGTATTATATTGAAGTGCATTATATCAAGTTGCATTATATTTATTTATTTATTATTTGGACATGATACATAGTTGTGCATTATATCTTTTTCTAAAGATAATGGCACCAAAAAAATGTAAAGTTTGGTTAAATACTTATAAATTATGCAAACTCAGATTTGGAGGTCTTGGATCACTTTTTACACAACAGCATTTTCACCCACCTTGAGGCATATCTTAGGCCAATTCCAGTGCTCAAACTGAGCCCATTCCCAATATGCCTTTTGTAATATCCAATGATTACAAGAAACTGCCCATTCAATTGTCAGAACTACCCTGTTAAGTGTCTAGAAGTCAGGTCATTTGACCAGTTTTATATTTTCAACAATTTTTAATTTAAAAAAAATAATTGTAGGCATTCCAGCCACTAAAGTAACCTTCCTCCTTTTCATTAATCACATCCCCAGGTTGTGATTAATGAATCCATCATCACAAAAAAATTTATGCTTGTTCATGGAGATGGGAATAGATAGGAATAGCTCCTACCCTTCTTTATGGAAAATCACTAAAAATTTGCTATATCCACCACTTTAAGGCCTATTTTAGGATACTTATGGTCTAAAAGTGGCCTAAAATTGACACCAAGAAGCAGGCAATAAAATCATAACCCTCAGACTGTCCAAACGTAGATCTACGTTTGCACGCGTAGTGCTCTGACCTTGATTTTCTCCATAAGAAACAATGTAAAAATAAATGTAGATCTACGTTTGGAGTGCTTCGTGAGCAAACATTTGGACAGTTTAAAGGTTAAACTACACTGAAAAATATTCCCCAAAGTCCTTTATTTTTAACCCAAATGCAGTCAATTGTTCCCATCATGCACTGTGTGGAGGCAGGCCTTTTTTTTATACTGTGCACACCCACCATACACATGCATTCTCTCATATCTGTGCCAAAATTTGCCGCTCCCAGCAAATTTAAAGCTGCCATTAATTAGTGTAGATTGTATCTCAATCACTAGCACACTTAGCTGTTTTCCAGCCCAGTATGGCTGGAAACAGAATGTGTTTCCACATGATGCCTGCTGTGCTTGTTCACCCATCAGTAAAATGGGTACCTGGATGTTAGTCAACTGGTGTGGGTCGCATCCTGGGACAAAATTGACCTAATTTGTACGAGATGCTCTGCATAACAAGGGGCTTTTGTATTAATATGTAATTCATTGATGTCAGCTAGGTCTGTATACCTTGTATGCATACTTGTAGAGATAAAGATACATGTTAGTGTTATTATTATTACAAGAGCAGCACTGTTTCTATTTATGTAGATCCACGTGACCTACAGTGAAAGAGTTAAAATGGATACAGTGATCAAACACACACCATTTGGACTTTTTGCACTTTGTTTAGTCTCCATTTTGTAAATGCAGAAAATGGATCCTTATTTGTTTATTTTCAATTAAAAACAAATTGTCTTTCCCTTTAATCATGTCTCCCATACTTGGACCAACCTCTCTTTATGCAATTTTTTTCTAAATTTCTAAAAAAAAGCAATTGTGCTGAGATAAAATAGATGAAAAAATTTATGATTGTGCTGGATAATGGAAGAAAATTATTTCACACAAATGCATAGACAATTTAAATTGTTTTTGTTGATTAATGATTGGCCATGATTGACATTTAATTGTGTTGCTGTCACCATTTATATAATTACCTGGGGAATACACATGAAGTGTTTGACTAATATTTATTTTCAGATTTGTGACTTCTGGAGTTCCTTGTGTGTGTGAACCTCAGTTCAACGAAGGGTTTCTTTTTGATCTCCAGCTTTTAAAGCCAGGTAATACTGAGCTGGAGTTTCTCATCTAATTTTAAGTATTTGATGAGATACAGCTATGGATGTAAAAGGTGGAAACATAAACACATATGCAGTTTAATGTGATCCTTTATTGACAATGTTTCGCCCACAGAGTGGGCTTTTTCAAGTCACAAACAGATCTGTTTGTGACTTGAAAAAGCCCACTGTGTGGGCGAAACATTGTCAATAAAGGATCACATTAAACTGCATATGTGTTTATGTTTCCATTGTGTCGGTATTTTATACGATTTATTTCCAGATGTAAAAGGTAAAAATTCATAAGCTAATGAATGAATATGACAATTTAACCTGTAAACGGTCCAAGCAGATCTACATTCACATGCGTAGTGCTCCAAAAGTAGACCTACCGTTTTTTTACATAATTTCAAATATAACAAAAAAGAAAAATGTATATCAAAGTTTTTTTTACATGTTTTCAAATGTAAAAAAAAAAATGATGATCTACTTTTTTTACATACTATCAAATGTTGAAAAAACGTATATACAGTGGAACCTCAAAAATCGAACTTAATCCGTTCCAGGAGCTAGTTCTAAATTCGAAAAGTCTGAAATTCGAAGCAATATTTCCCATAAGAAATAATGGAAATACAATTAATCCATTCCAGAAACCCAAAAATACATTTTATAGAGATTAATTACAGTTTTACATACAACAAATACTATAGTTTTTAATTATGTATAATAATACATATAAAATAACATTTTTACTTACCTTTATTGAAGATTGGTGATGGCATCTGGAAGATAGGGAGGAGGAGAGAGGGAGTTGGGGTTAGTGTTTGGAAGGAGAATCCCCCTCCATGAGGACTTCAGGTAAAGCCCTCTCTGGGGTTACTTCCCTTCTCTGTCTTTTAATGCCACTAGGACCAGCTTGAGAGTCACTGGACCCCTGTCTCACAAAATAACTGTCCACAGTCCTCTGTTTCTGGTGCCTCTTTAACATTTTCCTAAAATGGGACATGGTTCTGTCACTGAACTTGTTGCAAAGATGGCTTGTTTCAATTTGCTCAGGGTGGTACTTCTGCACAAACATTTGGACATCATTCCACTTGGCACAAATCTCCTTGATCTTTGAAGAAGGCACCTCATCCACTCCCTATATTAACACTTTCGCAACATCAGCTTCCTTGATTTGTTCTTTCTTTGACAGGATAGAACCGATGGTCGACTTGTTTTTCCTATACATCCTGGCAAGCTCAACAAGTCTCACACCACTCTCATACCTCTGTATTATTTCCTTCTTCACATCTATGGTGTTTCTCACTTTCTTTACCACAGGGGTACCACTAGCAAGTTTCTTTGGGCCCATGGCAGCTTATTTCACAGTCCCACAAGCACTAAACACAACGAAATAATCGTAAAATGCGTGAATGAGAGCGCAGGTTAGTGTTCACTCAGGCATAAACAAAGCTAGACTGCTCACGGCGCCTGCATGGGGACGCGGACAGAGCGGGCGGCAGACAGGTCCCGTACCCGGCAGTCCGAAAATAGGGACGCATTCGATAATAGGGACACAGTTTGTCCGAAAAAATGGTCCTATTTTCAAAACGTTCGATATGTGATACGTTCGATTTTTGAGGTTCCACTGTATACGTTTGGACCGTTTACGGGCTAAATATGAAGAAATTAACACAAAGATTACAAAAAAATGTTGAACCTAAGTGTAAGGTAGAGAAAATAAACAAGGAAAAATGGAATGAAAACAAAATATTGAAGTATAAATCAGATGGCAGGAACTCTGAGAATAGAAAGACTCATGTGACTCAAAGATTGAGGAGAACTATGCAAATATAATCAAGCAATACAAAGAATTAAGGATATTTGTAGATTAGGCAAGTAAAATAGTCACCATAGAGAAAACAGTTACAAATAGTTATGTATAATCTTGTAAATGAGTCACTTGGCAAGTACAGTGGTCCCTCGCTTTTCGTAGTTCTCGGCAATCGTAAATTTCGCCAATCATAGGGGTATTTTCATTTAAACATGGACTTGCTTTTCATAGGTTGACTCGCGTATAGTAGTTCGTCCAGGACGCGTACGCACGGTGTGAGCCGGGGCGGCCTCCGTACTCAGCCAGTCTGGCAATGTTTACCAGTGAGTGAAGGTCCCCTCAAGTGCTCCTACGAAATATTTCATAATATTCCACTCATTTTAGTGCTTGCAATTACTAAATAAGCTACCATGGCTCCAAAGAAAGCTCTTAGTGCCAAGCCTGTGGTAAAGAAGGTGAGAAATATGTACAGTGACAAAGTCTTGGGCCATTTTCGGGAAGTGTTAAAGAGACGGCAGAAACAGAGCTCTCTCCACAGTTACTTTGCGAGACAGGACTAGAGTGACTCTCAGGGTGGTCCTAGTGGCATTAAGAAACAGAGAAGAGAAGCAACCCCAGAGAAGCAATTGGTACCTGAGGTGTTGCTGGAAGGGGATTCCCCTTCCAAACTGTAAACAATCCAATCTCTCTCCTCCTCCAGTCTCCCATACACTAAGAAGAATCTCCAATAAAGTTAAGTGTTATGCTGTTAATGTTTCATTCATCATTTCCCATTGTATTGTTTATGTACTATATGTATATTTCATGTAAAAATTTTTTTTGTTTTAATACTTCTGGGTGTCAGGAACGGATTAATTGTATTTACATTATTTCTTATGGGGAAAATTGATTCGCAAATCGTAAATTTCGTTTATAGTAGCGGCTCCAGGAACGGATTAATTACGAAAAACGAGGGACCACTGTACAAGAAAAATCATTATCAGCTGTGCACATTTTTTTCTTTTTAACTTAGTTGATTATTTTCCAGCAAGGATGGATGAAGAAAACAGTAAATTCATTCTCCATCATTCATTCATCTGTTATCATGTGAGAAGTGTGCTGACACCACAGTTCAGGTGACCCTCTGAGCTGCAACATCCTTCCTCTCTTGTAGAGTGCAGACACTCCCTTCAAACCTACAGGACTCAAGAAGTATGATAAATTATTGAGATCACAAAATGCTTCCATGATGATGAATATTTAGCATTGTATAATCATTTCTGGAAAATGAGGCAACTGTAATAAAAGCAAGCTGCCACAAATATCAAAATAAAGATTTTTTTTTTATTTTATTTATTTATTTATTTTTTTTTTTTTTTTTTTTCAACAAGTCGGCCGTCTCCCACCGAGGCAGGGTGACCCAAAAAAGAAAGAAAATCCCCAAAAAGAAAATACTTTCATCATCATTCAACACTTTCACCACACTCGCACATTATCACTGTTTTTGCAGAGGTGCTCAGAATACAACAGTCTAGAAGCATAAACATATAAAGATACACAACATATCCCTCCAAACTGCCAATATCCCAAACCCCTCCTTTAAAGTGCAGGCATTGTACTTCCCATTTCCAGGACTCAAGTCCGACTATATGAAAATAACCGGTTTCCCTGAATCCCTTCACTAAATATTACCCTGCTCACACTCCAACAGATCGTCAGGTCCCAAGTACCATTCGTCTCCATTCACTCCTATCTAACACGCTCACGCACGCTTGCTGGAAGTCCAAGCCCCTTACCCCTTTTATTTATATAAAGCACTAATCCCATAGTGAGTCATTGAGTGTAGGAGGTAGTGGAGGAACTGAATCCTCCATCTGTTAAGTGCAAGACATGTATTACTCTGGCAGCCTGGCTTTTCTATAAAACATAAGAAAGAATTATTATAGAATTGGAAACAGGTACAAGAAGGCTATAAGACATAAACACTTAAGTACTATTGAAAAAAGAAAGAATGAAAATATAACAAAGAGACTGGAGGGAGGAAGTGAGGAAGCAAAGAATGTGTAGAGTAACACATTCAGTTCCACCTATCAGAAGTTATCCTTTTTTAGGTTTTGCAGGGAATGTGTAACACTCATTTATTTTGCTTTAATGAATTTAAATGTAATATTATTGTGCATTATATTAAAGTGAATGGAGGCAAGTGTTTTTTTGACGACATACACTTGATGTGTGAGCAATGTAACATTTGTGAAGGGATTCAGGGAACCAGTTAGCCAGACTTGAGTACAGGAGGGCCCCATTTATGCAGTTCTTAGGTTCTCATCCACATGCGGTAAACGAAAATTGCCAGTAGGTGAAATAGAGCGTTTTTTCGTTATTGAATGCATTTAAAATGCATGATAGTGTTTTTATCATATATTAAGTGCTCAGCACAGCTAGGTATAAAAAACAGATAAAGCAAAATAAATACAGTGATACCTTGACTTAGGAGTGCCCTGAGTTACGAGCCATCGCCCGGTCGATTTTTTGCTTCGAGTTGCAAGCCAAAATCCAAGTTACAAGCGAGCTTCTCACCGCCACTCACAGGAGATACCGAGGAAATATCAAAAAACTTGATAATAACCTACGTGTAACATTCTTTTTCGATTCTGATACCATTGGTAGTGTCATCCTGCCAGGATGTTCTATAACGTATGCCTTAAGTAAAGAGAAACAATTCTGGAATAGATGTAATACATGTTCGGCAGGCCAGCTGGTTGGGTGGCCAGCTGGCTGGCTGGCTGGCAGCTAACTGGCTGGCTGATTTGCTTTGGCTGTCTCTATCTCCTGTCTGTCTGTATCTATCTCTGTCTATGTGTGTCTATCTTTGTCTCATCTGTCTCTATCTCTGTATCTGTCTAGTCTCTGTCTATCTCTGTCTCTATCTCACAGGTACACATAAATACAGTTATACATAGTGTAAATTACCTAGGATAACCCAAAAAATCCAGACAAAGTGCTATACTGTGCTTGTAGATACAAGGCATAATAAGCATGACTGGCAAGTAATACACATTTTCACTTGTACAGGAATCAGACGTGACGACTTTGCATCGTGTGTAATACGAGGTGAAAATTTAAATTGTTGTCTTAGACATGATATAAGATTAGAAACATCGAACACAGAATCTGTTTGGCTACAGTTTCTTGAGGGTTGTGACAAATTAAT